GAGTATATTTCAGCTGTGAGCACCTCTTCCTTTACCACTGTGCACAGCTCGGTGGGAAAATAGTGAACATCAACAGCAAACTGTAAATCATTTTAATCTGCATACTGCAAAAGAAGTTACATTTTAGGAAATCCTGGGGCACGATGCTTATTACTGATTGTCTAGTTAACTTCAAAAGCAGGTATTTGTCCTCCTAAACACTGCAGAAGATAATAATCCTGGAAGAATCCACCTTTTACCTGGGCAATCCAAGTGCAGGTAAACGACTGTATCTGGTAATGAAATTTACACATCTCCTAATGCTACTATCGTCAACCATCCAAACCCCAAAACAGGTTGAAAGGGCACATCATCTTTAAAAACTCGCTACAAGGACACAATTTATTCATAAAGAATTGTTTCAACTTTCTGACAGTCCTTGAACTGCTCATCGGTGACATGCTGCTACACTGAGAAATTCAATCAAATCTGAGCTTAAAATTGTGGTAATTCATCATAATCCCTTTATGATACATGTCTCATTTAAAAATTTACCAAAAATGAACCATTTGTCTGAATCAGATTCTGGAAAACACAAAAGATTCTTCACTCCTTTACTGAGAAGCCATCAGTGACTCAGGTTATGTGTAGTATAGTTTTTAAAACTCAGCCTGATCCCTCAGTTTTTTATTGCCTGCTAGTTTTTGTAGCTTGGAATTAAAGCTTGCATCTTATTTCCTCAACCTATATGTCTGTGTCCTGCATTTGCGTTACCAAAGTTTTAGCCCTGATCTGACCAGCCTGGTGATGTCCCCATCAAGGCTTATTGTATTTTTTCAAACTCTCTCTCTACCCAGGCTTGCTCATTTTGGCCTCACAGTTGTGGAGCTGTTACTGTCTGGATTTGGGCGGGTTCTTTCAGGCACAAATTCCTAAAAATAGCTTCACCTCAGCACTTACGTTTTGCTTTTCCTGCTCTTGTGGCGAGCGGTGGGGGCTGTGGCAGCGGGAGTGATTAGCTGACAAAGCTCTGGCAAGGCATCAGCCAGCGGCCTCATGTCTCCCACCACGGGCGTGGCCTTCCTCCGGGCCTCGGCCACCTGCTGCTCTTTAGCCTGTTTGATGGAGCTGATCTCTGGGAGAATCCACAGAACAGAGGCAGAGAGGGTGAGTTAGATCCAAGATAAACAGCACAACAAGAAGTCCATCAATGGGAAATGTCAGTGAAGATTAAGAGTTCTCCCTCTGGTACACACAGTCCTGCATCTCCTGAACTCTGTCAGCCTGAAGCATGCAACAGTTTAAAGGTCCGCTGAAACACATTTTATAATGGGATGCGGGCATTGTACAGGTCAGGTTCATGTAAAACTAAGACTAATAGTGTTAGAGAAGCTTCCCTCTGGCTGCAAACAGAACATAATCATTCACAAACACAGTCTACTTTCACAGCTATTTTTGATTGAATAGACAGACTGATGTCCAGAGCTCATGCAATGTCCATAGTTTACTGTTGGGAGAAACAAATGATAAATAAAAAAAACTAATGCACAAAATGAAGAGAATTCACTGGGATTTGAAGACTTTAGCAAACAACATCAATTTCTCTCCATTTCCTTTTTATGTTTTTTTTTATTAAATTACATATTGTGTCCCTTTTCAACAACTTAAAGTCTCACATGTACCCACAATGTGTGTTCCAATTTTTCACTTAAAATCCCCCAAAGATGGTTAATGGCACCATGACTGTACAACTCCTCGTTTCAGCCTTTCAGTGTTTGTAGCTTTAAATGCAGCGCTACTGTCCACCCTTCAGAAAGATGACTCTCTCTGCATCTGTGATTGACATCGCAAAGAAAAACAACTAGAATAAACATGAATGTGAATGTGTGAGATCAGGAATTAGCATCGCTTCTAACTTTCTCTCTGAGGGATCATTTAACACAGAAATATCGCTAAATTCACTTCCCACCTGTTGTCTTTAACTTGTGTATTTGGTGAATCTGTCAGACAACACTGAGGTTATAAAATGTGGCTGTATGGCTGAAGAACGTCACCAATGTTCTATCCTATGGACATTCAGAAATGAAAAACGCAACAAACCTCTTCCTTTGTTTGTAAATTCAGGTGCAAATATATTCACAGTAACAAATTTCCAGCTTGTAATGCTGGTTTTAGTCTGTAAAATGTACAATAGCCAAAGTCTGCTGTCCCTACCCAGTGTCCACAAACTGAAAAAAACAAAACAAAACAACAAACTAATCCCTCAGTCTAATTTCCTCCTAATTCCTGAAAACTGTCAGCCATGGAGCCAGTGTTGGGTTTCACCAGGACAGAGACACAGCCATTAGCACCTAATTATACGCCTGAAGAGGATACGCGTTGTGTTACTGAGCAATTGATTGGCTCAGCAGAAGGGTACGGTTACAGACCTGATCTCAATTATTGGAGATCATGACAGTGGTGTTGAGGAGAAGAGTTAGAATTATAGAGAGAAGCTATGATGGACATTTTTTCAAAAAGCTCCCCCCAAAAAAATCATTCGCTTATTCTTTAGAAAAATGCCTCATAGCTTGCAAAAGCTTCATTCAGATTCACTGGAGAATGTGGGCGATAAAATACTTTGCTCAGTCTGGTCCGTCGCTTGCCCCCTGATGGGTTCCACCGCCGGCCTCCAGCCCGACCACCCGAGGGTTTCCGTCTCGTCCGTCGCCGGCCACTTGACGGTTCCTACGGCCGGCCTCAAGTCCAATTGCTCAAGGGTCTCCATCCTGTCCGTTGCCGACCTCGACCCCAACCACCTGATGGGGTTCGAGGCCACAAGCCTCCAGTCCGACCTCCTGATAGGTGCCATTGCCGCTGGCCTCTATGGCCCCGCCTGGCCGTCCAGCCTCCAGGCCGTCCTCCGGAGCAGCCCTGCCTACCTGTGGAGTATATTTTTGTTTGCCTTGCTGACCGGCTCCCAGGCTGTCCTCTGGACCTTTTGGTTTGTTGAACTGTGGTTTATGACCTGTTTCTGGACTACCTGCCGGCTTTGTTTTTTGGTGGTTTTGTTTTTTCTCCCCCTATAGACTTCGGATTATCTGCCAGACTGTTCTGGACACCTTTGTTTTGTTTTTTTTTGACAAGCAAATCCACTTTCTTACTACACAACACTAGGAATGACAGGGACAGAAAGTACTGCAAAATTCTAAGAAATAGAGTATTTCCACATGGTTCAATTGCTTTGTTTTAGCAAAAACCAGCTTTATTGGACCAACTTAATGTATTTGTGTTGAGTCGACATCAAGGTTAAGCCATCTCATTTGCAAAAGTTGGGTCCAACCTAATTCAATCATGTTGGGTCATCTAATTTTACAGTATTAAAAATCACTCTGGTGAATAAAGTTGATCCAGAATTGCTTAATGTTGAAATACAGCTGTCTAATTAAATGTAATTCTCTCTACGATTTAAGTCAGTTCTTCCAAATAGTGACTTTTGACTGTAACAATAATTGATTGCACTCAAAAGCTCTTTGAATGAACTTAATTAAATCATGGAAAGTATTACCACATGAATAAATGGCTTTCTTTCAGCACTAAGCAATGCTTCTGGTCCCACTTAATCTACTTTAATTGAGTTAATATAAATTATTAGGGTTAATTCAACTTGTTTTTTTGATTACATGCTTTGAATGTATAAGTTAGACTTATTCTATCAAAACACAAATTAATCTATGAAATATTAGGTTGTTGAATATCTTACTAATACTGTCGTATTAAGTACATGCGCAGTTATTTTGAGTGTGCTTCTTTTTAAAGTTTTCTAGTTTAATCTTGTTTCTTCTCATGTATGAACACGTTTAAGTGACAAAGTGTAAACGTGAGGTCTCCCCCTCCCTCCTCCACCACACGGGTCTGGAAGCCTCGCTATGATTAGATTTAAAGGAAAGAAAAACCTAATCAATACGAGGTTCAGTTCTGCTGCGCGCCATTAGTACTCATTAATAATGGATCTTATGGGAAGAACAGTGTCAAATTAAAAGTAATCAGAGCTTGTTGTTAGCAGCCTAAACATATAGTGAATTTATGAACTGGGGTGTGTTCACTGTCAGGTCTGTCATTGTGGACATTTTAGCTCCAGACTGTGTTGTCTCACAGACAGGTATGGACATATTCAGTTGTGTTTTTTGTTTTTTTTCCCTACATTTCCTTTGACTGCAGTGTTAAATGGCATAGTATGTAATTTGGCTGTCCTACATTCCTGCGCTGCCAAATGGAACCTGGCATTGAAGAGCAACTTGACAGAGACACTGTGGCTCATCACCAGCTGATACTCACTGACAGCAGAGGATGACCCAAAGTAAACACAGGAGGGAGAAGGAAGGAAGAGGATTAAAGGGCCGTGCTGCAACAAGTCCTCGTGTAGGTTCTGCTGAAGCTCAGGAGCTCAAACAAGAATCCAAATATCCTGTGAATAGAAATGGAAAAATGTGGCAACCTATGAAGTTACTAAATCACTAAACCTGGCAAGTTTGGATCATAAAGCTAGATGACATGACAGCTCCCCAGAGGTTACGCCAAGACACAGATGGGACATATTAAAGGGAAAACTTGATCCCTTGACCTGTGTGGTGCTGTTGGGGACATTTTGCTGGCAGCGTTTTGGTCCACTTGTTCCCTCAGAGGAAGGGTCGCTGCAAATCAGTACCAAGTTGTTCTAAGTGACCAGCGTTTCTATCCTGATGGCATTCATCTGGAGCAAGACCAAAGTAAAGTCCCCTCAGCTGAGGTGGTGAAGTGGTCCTGGACGCCTTCCTTTGGAGGTTTCCTAGATACATCCAACTAGGGGAAGATCCCAGGGTAGACCTAGAACTCACTGAAGGGATTACGTATCTTATTTGGCCTGAGAACTCCTTAGAATCCATCGAAGAGCTGGAAAACGTTGCTGGGAAGAGGGACGTCCACCGTGACCCAACCCCGGATACCTAGAAGAATATGGATGGATGGATGGATGGCAATGCCCCATCTATAGGGCATGAGAAATCACTGGATGAAACTGATGCAAATCATATGCTAAATGGTTTGAACAGAGATTTTAGACACTATGAGGGGGAAAATGGCGTTCCATCCCTTCAGTAGAGTTCCAGAGACTTGGAGAATCAGTACATATACAGCCTGAACACATTATGTTCATACTCATGTAATGACAATCAGGGGAAACTGCTAGACTAGTTCCATCAAATACAACACAAGCTTCCCTATTTATATGCTCAGTATCTGGTAAAACATAAAGGAACCCACAGTATTGTTGATGCGGTCTGGGTGGAGCTTCAATCTGGAAACCCACAACAAGGACAAGCATTCAGACACATTATTTGGCGACGCGACCTGTGTTTTCTGAATAGTGCTTCTGGTGTCACTGCTAAAAGAGGTCATGGTACGCAGAATCAAGTTTTGAAACTTTTGCACATTCTGAATTCATGTAAGAAACTTGTTAAAAGAGAGTATAGTGTGGGACCCTTTAACTCCATCCAACAGTAAAAACATTGCTCATTAAAGCTACTTCAGTGAGTTTGCTGTTTTTTTTTTTTTTTTTAAATGCCTTGCCCGAACACTTCTATGAATTTAACATTAAGGTAGATGCCTCCATGTAAACAAACTAATTACTGTTTCGGTCATATTTAAAAGCGCAACCATTAATGAGTATTCACAAGGATACTTCAGAAGCATTCTTGATGTTCGCAGATATTTAAATGAATGTACCTGTGGTTTCTGCCCACCATCTTTTCTGAAGACTCACATCAAAGGATGTGAGTCGACACGCTGTACGGTAGAACAGCGACGCATTTATTAGACCATCAAACAATGTTTCAATCCACAAAGGGGTCTTTGTCAGATCAAACGGGACCTGATGAAGACCTGACGAGATCCCCCTGTGGATCTAAACATTGTTTTATGGTCTAATGAAGTCGTGTAGGCTGTCATCCTTTAATCTTCGTAGCTCAGTTTTCACACTGATTTCCTAGTTTCCAAGCTGGTTTTAGTTCATTTCAGTGTGTTATGAAGATTAACATGGAGGAAGTGTAATTATGTGGCTCCAGAAATACTAAGATAATGATACTGTCAAGTGTAGCTGCAGGAACCAAAACGACAGACACTGAAGTATGAGATTGAATGATGACCACTGACATTTTTTCACAGTGTGCAATGGAAGTGAGTGCATGTACCACCTCTCAATAACTGCACTACATCTAAATTGACAAGTATTTCCTCTTATGAATAATCAAAAAAATATAGTTGTAGAAACTCTGTGCACTTAAGAGCAAATGCCTACTGTTATACTTGGAAGTAATGTGATTACTGTAGGGTCGTACTATAGGGTAATGTCTTCATTTCTTTTGTATACTATAAGTCATGTGAAAGTCATCATTACATTAGATGCCTCAAAATCTAAAATAGTCAAGCAATTTTCAATCTTCAGATCATCAAACTGTCATCCTCAGATCCTTTTGTAATTTGGACTCGATGTTCACATGCAAGTCTTATTATATAGTGTACGTTTCCCAGTTTGATTTGTTTGAATTCATATCTGCCGGCCCCTCTGTGCCACCATATATTTGTAAGAGCACAAGCTTACTTAAGTTTTTTTTTTCCCCCCATTTCAAAGACTCGGACTGCACAAAAGGGAGCATGAACACAGTGGAACGGCACCTCTGTGAGTTTGCCTCCCCAGTATGTACATTCCTTGTGGAGTCCTTTCATTTCCACACCGTCTGCCTTTCTGATTTGCTCTGACTCAAGATCCGCTCGGCTTCCCTCGAGCTCTGTCGGATGTTTCTCATACATGACTCATTCATATCTGCTGCGGGATGCTGGCGAACCTGAGCAGAAGAACTAAATAAATAAAATAAGGACGACGATCTGTTTTACGCAGCGCACCAGCCTGTTCGAGAGGCCGGGTCAGCACCTGCCTGGTAAATAATTGAATGATGAATTTCAATATTACCTCCTGTTCGTCTCTCCTGGAGCTGGTGATTAAGCAGACTGAGCTTCGCTGGAGGGCTTCCTCTCTCGCCTGGTTGCTTTCCTTAAAACACAGGATTCAGTACAGTAACTGAGTCACAGTGGACTAGGATCAACCTGAACACATCAACAGGCCTGAAAACAAGGTAAAACCAAAAGGTTAGATAATAAACAGCATTATTACAAATGAATAAATGTATTTAAATGCTCGCAAAAGAGTATTATATTTTATTATTAATATACTTTTCAGCATTTAGATGTGTTCTTATTTTCTCCTTTTGATTTTTTTTTCTTAATATACAACATTTGTTTCTGCATGTATTTCCATATTACAACAATCAAACCAACTTTATTTGTAAAGCACTTTGTGCTACTTTTTGTTTGTATGAAAGTGCTCTATAAAGTTTTGATTGATTGATTCCATTGTCATCTTAAGACAGTCCAAATGTAAATAATAACACAATTTAATGTCACATAAAAATAGAAAATATTAATTAGAAAAGTTATATATATATAATTGAAGCTATATTAAAACGTCATAGAATTATATATTCTGTAATTAAAAAAAAGGAAAAGCTGATTAAATCCATCCATTATCTATACACCCCTTAATCCTCACTATGGTCGAGGGGGGGCTGGAGTCTATCCATGCTGACTTAAGGCGAAGGCAGGGGACACCCCGGGCGGGTCGCCAGTCTATAACAGGGATACACTTAGAGACAGACAACCAAGCACACTCACATTCACACCTACGGACAATTTAGAATCACCAGTTGACCTCTACATGTTTTTGGACTGTGGGAGGAACCCGGAGAGAACCCACACTGCATGGGGAGAACATGCAAACTC